AAAAAGTCATCATTTTTTGCCTTGGTAAGTATAAAAGATTGAATCTTCAGAATAACAATTTTGGACTCCGAAATGCCTAAGAGTAAAATGCCCATTTTTGTCACAGAGCACTACTGAACAAGGTATGCAACCTGGCCATATGTCACTCTGAGCGTTTTAGAGTTGAAGAAATCATGAAAGGAAAAAGCCTATCAGATTGAGGTTGCGACAAAATATGACCTTTCAAAAGCTTGAAATGACATTACATCACTAAAACACATGAGGGCACTCTACTCAACCAGCAAAGAGAAACAGACGAGATCGTGAAATCAAGTCGACATTCTAACAATCGAACTGCAACAGTTGACTCAAGCACTGGTAAGATTTTGAATGCTTGTAATTTATAGCGAGATTTCCTGTTCTTGGTTCAAATTCTAAGACCCCAAAAGGATTCTACAACTATGTAAACTGGAGAGAGAGAATCCAACACGCTCAGATCTAAGGTGAGAATTAACTACCCCCCTTTCTAATGATTTGTTAAACTGACCTTGGGGCAAGATTTGCCCCTTTCAAGCAAAGATCCTCTATATAATCTACAATTGCACTTGGTGTTTACTTGTCTTTGCTCCATCTGTTTTCACAGGAGAAATGGCAAGTTAAAAGTTTGAGCCAGTAGAAATGAAACAGCATTTTGCACAAAGGAGCGTAGACCATTCAAGAATGCGTTTCATGGTCTTCTCAAGTTTTTAAATTTGTAAATACAACTACAGCATATAATTTCCTCCATCAAATTCAATAAGTATAGTATAACAAGCATTTAAATGACCTTCCTTTCAGACCTTTAACAAGAGAGCAACAATAACTGCAGAGAGCCATGGATTCTGAGCAATCGGACTCCCTCACAAAGGATTATCATTAATCTTAAAGTCACATTCAAATTTGTGCCTCAGCAAAATTATAAATAATTCCATGTCACGGATCTTTGGGGTCAAACGTAGTGGTTAAAATGGAAAGTGTTAAAACTTTAAATGCCAACAGTATATACTGTGGTTGCATAATAAACCTTTGTTAACTGAATAATCTAGAAGATTCTCTCCATCTCTGGTACTATCTATTGGAAGCACACGCACATGCTGCATTCTTGAACTGCTTCTTACTATTTTGTTCACTTTAATCTTCATCTACTTAAATGGCTAGATTCCTGGTCATGATGTTTCAAACTTAATATTCTCAGTATTTTTTGTACCATGGTCTTTTGATGAGGGCCTGGTGAATTTCAGTTTCTATCTTTAGCTGAATTGGCCCACCAGGGCACTCAATTAGGTTCAATGCATACTCGTAACAGAACATGTTCTAAAATGTGCTAATTTAGAAGATACATTTCTTATTTTCCTGGTCTTTCTAAAATGATTCTGGTTAATTGAAAATGCCAATGAATTTTCTTCAGTTAAATAAAGCTGCCTGAATACTACATAATATTATAAATATAGGCAGTCATTAAAATCCTTTGAGTTGGTATCTAAGGAGGAGCTATCCAATTATTACACTATGATGGCATCCGTTGTTTTTGTGTGGGTATGTGAAAAGCCACCAAGAGAGTGATGTGCAAAGTTAGAGAACTGTAAATGGTATCACAGAAGCTAAATTTGGCATATATTTATAAAATAAGGTTAGCACTCAACTGGCAAGGAAGTTCCCAAACTTTAATTTTTTTAACCTATAATCTTTTTTAAGGTCTTAATTGAACCAAACTTGCTTTTAAATCTAATTACAAATGTCCTCGAATAAAATTTCTCTCAGTATTCACTCCACCTTCCTTTCTTTAAGACATAACCTCACATTGTGCCAGGTACTGTGCAGGGTGCTGGCGTCCCTTTACTCACTAAGCAACAGACTCTCAAGTCAGGAAGACCTGGGTTCAGATCTTGGCTCTGCCGCTTTTAATCTGTGTAACCTTGAGCCACTTACTTCACCTTCCTGAAGCTCATATTTTTTATCTGTAAAATGGGAATACTATCACCTAGATCAGATAATTAAATAGGTCCCATATACCAAGTACCCAGCATACTGGCTGGCATGCAGTAATTGCTCTATGAAAACGTAGCAATTATTCCTTTTCGCTTCGATGGCTGTTGCTTATTATAATCTTTTTAACTCCACCCTTCAATCTTTTCTCAACAGTATTCACAGATCTTGGTAATCCTTTAGAAATTATTTATTGAACTGCTGTTTAGTGGGGACACTCTTTGTGCAGGCTTTGAGAATATACAAAGACTACATGAGGGAGAACTGACACAAACCAATAATTACAAGTGCTACAAATAGGAAGTGTGCCATGGAAGCATATGACAGGGTACTTAACTCAAGGAAGGCTTGAAGAAGGACTATTTAAACAGAGACCAGGAATATATGAAGAAAACAGGCAAAAAATGGTGAGGCAGGCAATGGAACATATTTCAAGTCCCAGAGACAAAAGAGGACAGGGCACGTTCAAGGAATGTCTGTGAGGGTTAAAAAGGCAGGGAAACCAGCTAGTAGGTCTTGTTGAATTCCAAGTGACAGGTAGAAAGAGCCCACAGTGTCAGTGGAGACTGAAGACAAACAGAACCTAGTCAAGAAACTTTCATTTCATAAGAATCAACAAAATGTGGTCATAGGTTGGAAAGTCATAATCTCAAGAAGAAGAATACTCTCAGTAAAATGTATTTTTGTTTTATGATATAAATTTAAAACACAGCTTACTACATATTCCTGACACCGTACACAAAGTTAAAAATTTTAGGTCACGGGAAGATTTATTCTGGCCCTTTGGGAGGCATGACACACAAGTCTAACTTACTGAGCAACAATGCTCTTGAAACCACTTTGGTGTGTTGATAGAAATTCATTCATCTATGGAGTAGCGATAGAACATTTCCTTTCTCTTGGAGGCATCTTTTGGTTCTTATAGGAAAAAATAATTTTCTACTTTTTTCCCTTTTTTCTCTTCCAAGTTTTTATTTATTTATTTAAAAGCTGGATTTATGGAGAGAACAGAAAAGCTACCACAGTGGGAGGGGACCCGAGGGGGTGCTCTTTTCCATGTTTTGACATCTCTAAATACATTAAGCAAGAGGATTTTATGAGCAAGCCAAAGTATATGTAAAGTAAACCCTGGCTTTCTGATACTCTCGCAAATGAGTTGTTATGGAAAAAGCTTTTCACATGTCCCTGCCTTCGTAAACCAAGCACACCAAATGTAATTTGTTCTTTATTGAGAACACAGGGTCTGTATTCCAGTCATCAGGGTACCTAGCTCATGTGTTCCCATAAGCTGAATGCTTTTCATTGAAGGCCCTGGATTACTTATCCTTCTTACCAGTTCAAGAGTCACTTTTCGAGGAGGAAGCTGTCCCTGACCTCCCCAGTCGTCTTTCCTCTCAGTTCCCGGAACCCTGAACATGCCTCTATTTTACTGTGAACACAGTGAATTATAATTTGGTTTTCTTTTTATTCTTCATTAGGTTGCACGTGCTTCTTCAGGACAAGTGCTATGACTTTCAATTCTGCATTCTTAAACGTTAGCACACTGGCCCAGGGGCAAATTGCTAGTCTCAATGTTTACTGACCTGCATCCTTGCCCTTACACAAACAGCTTTATATGGAGACAACTGTGTAGTGGACTCTCTTTTGAGTTATTAATTATTATTTTTTTAGAGTCGGGATCTCATTCTGTCACCCAGACTGGAGTACAGTGGTGCAATCACAGCTCACTGTAGCCTCCAACTCCTGGGTTCGAGTGGCCTCCCACCTCAGCCTCCCAACTATAGGCGTGCACCTCCATGTTGGCTCATTTTTTTTTTAAAGTAGAGATAGGATCATAGGATTTCATTATGTTGCCCAGGTTGGTCTTGAACTTCTAGCCTTAAGTGATCCTCCCACCTTGGCCTCCCAAAGTGCTGAGATTATAGCATGAGCCATGGCGCCTAGCCTGAATCCTTTAATACTGTCTATCTGACTTCTCAGAAAATAGCTGACTTTGCAGAGTATACACTTACAGCATGGTCGATTATCAGGTGGGGGTAGGTGGATTATGTGCTTTGAAAAAGTATATTCAAATAATTATACACACGGAAAAAAGAAAATAAACCTTTTCTATTTGTATAAAAATTACATAAAGTTTGGCAATAACTTGGCTCCAGGAACATGGCCTTTAGAAGGCTGGGAAACAGCATTTCAAACCTGCTTTTCTACTCTATGCTATTCCTAAATTAGTACAGGTGGAATAAACTAGTTAGATCTGTATGCACAGTGAGTAAAATGGCTCAAAGGTCTGAGAAGCTTTCCTACAAGCCAAGTGCTTGAGCTCTGCGATGCAACGACTTCTCCAGGTATATTGGTATGCTTCATCTAACCTTGGCTTATGCAGTCCCCACGGTCCTAGAATAGAATGCCTTAAAACTTCTCTCTGCCCATCCAAATCCTATGCAAGGTTTAAGGCTCAGATTCTTCAAGACCACACCTTGACTTCGTCTGAGTTCCAAGGGCAGTTAGAAGTCCACGCAACAGGCTAATTTAATCAGTGATTACGTTCTGCCGGCTATTTCCTATGCTCTGCTTATATCGAACCAAAGTCTCAACAACGGTAGAAGACAGGCTACTCAAGTGCCAATCAAGGGGAAAGAGGTTGTTAACTACCCGTTATTACACTCACGTGGAAGCTGAGTAACAAGTTCAAGCCCGGTTCACGGAGCCCAACCTGAGATTCTAAGTGAAGAAATGTGACAGAGTCAACCTCCTGTCTGACCAAAGGGATCCACCCATGAGTGAACAAGACCTGCTGGCAGTTCTGTGGGGGTGGGGCCCGGGAGAGGGAAACCAAACCTTCTCAACAACGGAAAACAGCTTTCCTCGGCCCATTCCACGTTCCAGTTCTGACTGCCACCCCTCCTGTGCGACAGTTCCCTGCCCAGTATGGAGAGGAAGAGATCCAAAAGGACATGGCACCACCATTGCCCTCTGACTTAGGTGCGAAGACTCACCAGTTTCATACTCGACTTTTGGTGGCTCAGTACCCGACACCCGACTCCTCAACCCCCGAGAGCGTCTTCCGGTCCGATCTCCGCCACCTGCCCGCTGAGAGCATCGCGGGACTTGCAGTCTTTCGTCCTTACGCCCCTTCTCGGAGGCATCATGGGAAACGTAGTTCCCCTCCAGGCATCATGGGAACTGTGGTCGCCTTTCCTTTGCCTCTCTTTCCTCTCCGAACGCCACCTTCTGTCAGCTCAAATTCATCCCCGCCGCCAATTCATCCTCCCTCTCCGCCCCGGCATGATATCATGTCCCCCGGACGGGCCTGGGCCCCGTGGTATTCTGGGATGTGTAGTCCCGACGGCCTGGCTCGCCTGTCCCCTCCTCCCTGTGGGGAGGTGGTGGGCGCAGGGCTTGCCGGGAGTTGTAGTCCCCCGGGGCCTCCAGGCGCCCGGTCCCGCGCTTTTACTCGGGGGAGACAGGAACTACAACTCCCAGGGACGCCCGGCGGCAGCAGGTGGGAGCGGGGCTGTTGATATCAATATGGCGGTTGTCAGCCAGACAAAGACAGTCAGTCTGATGTGATTGAGACAAGGGAGGTTTTCAGGGGAAGACTGGGAGATAGGGGCCTCCCCTCCCCCTTCTCCTCTTCCTGCGCCGGCCTCCACCCCTCCCCAGTCCCCTCCCGACGGGCGCCCCACG